CGAATACGGTACGTGGCTGGGTAGCCAGTAGTTATGCATTTATTTAGAATTTACTATATATATAAAAATCTATATATTTGAAATTTGGCGGCTTTGCCGCAGATAAAACAAATAAATACAAATTACAATTTTTAACAGAAGAGTTTATTAGCCTTGGGTTAAGGTTCTCACTACTCTTGGACGTAGCGGATTGCGATCCGCTACACTATACTCGTACTGGTTCTTGTGAAGAACGTAAGGTCGGTGACCTAAATTAAGCTTCTTTTAAGCGCAAAGCTACGGTAGCCTCGCTGCAATTCCTGCCACACGTTCATGAAAGGTATATTGAAAAGTCAAGTCACGCCTTCGAATAAAGTCATTCAGTAATGTCTGCACATGTCTGCACATAATTTAACGTCTTTATTCGAAGTAATTGGCATATCATAGGAAAATCCAAGAATCAAGTCGCGCCTATAAGCAGGTCCAACGCCGTTAACAATTCAATTTACAGGTGAAACTCTTACTTTTAAAGCATAGTATGTGTGTCTCTTGCTCTTAACATTGACAATTGAATGGGGGGTTACGCAATTAAGCCTTATCGTTCTATAATTTACAGCAAGATTATGTATGGCGAGCCCACTTTCATTATCGCAAATTTTTATGGCATTCGTTGTAGATTATTTCAAAGTTACATTACTTCGTAATTAAGACGACTGTATCTGACGAAACAATGAACGACGGGGATGTACGCGAACGCTTGCTTGCCCGACCAAGAATTACGCCACAGCATATAAGCGATCGCGAGTCCTACTCGCACGATGATCTGCTGCACTCTATTGGATCATTTTCCGCTGTGGTCTGGCCAGTTGCCGTCACTATGTTGATTGCCAGGTGCCATGTGCATTTAGTTCCTTGCCTCGATGCAATTACACACACCAATCTCTTTTGCAATCGCAATGTCAACTAGTTTTGTGTCGGTTAACGTGGTGGATCCCGTGTCTGCGAAAGCGCTTGCAAAGTACGATCTGACCGATAAATAGATGAGAGATGTGAAGTACATTATGACACTGCGTTAATGTTGTAGAGCTTACTTGATTTATGGCCCAGAAAAAGACAAAGAGGCATCTACTGGGACCAAACTCGAAGATGCACTAATAAATGCTTTGGCAATCGTGTCTTTTTTCATCGTTGCTACGTTCGTGATTGTGTGCTGTTACAAATTTAACTTCAACAGAGTAAGTCAAAGCTGCTCTTTCTTGTCGAATTCATCAGCATAATTATATTGAACTCTTATCATTTGGTGCAGATGCTGATTGGATACATGATGTTTTCGTCGGCAATGCTGCTTGGCATGTTGGGGGGGAATATGCTGATTATTATTGTCACCGACTTAAATATTCCGATTGACGTCTTAACGCTGTTTTTTGCGATGTACAATTTCTCGGTTGTCGGCGTGCTGTCTATTTTTTATCAGAAGGGCCTGCCCACATGGCTTACCCAGACGTATCTGGTGCTCACATCTGTCATAATGGCGTGGCAACTGGGGCAATTTCCAGAATGGAGTTCATGGGCGCTGTTGGTTGTTCTTGCGTTTTACGATTTGTGCGCGGTGCTGACGCCGTGCGGGCCACTGAAATGGCTAGTCAGTCTCGTACAGCAAGAAGGACGCCCGCTTCCTGGTATGTTCGAAAATAATAATCTCCTGCTCGCTGCCATCTATTTCAGCTTCTATGTGTCTTTTTTGAGGTTTACTTTACGAAGCGGAAATCATCCGGAATCCTTCAGACCAGTTTGCTCAGCCTGTACACGAAAGTGTGTACTACCAGTGCGAATCAGAAATTCCACTCCGTATTTGTTCGCCACTTAATTTGTCTCGAGCTTCAGAAACGTCTGCGCAATCTTTGCCAACGTCACTTCAGACTCAACTCCGCGTTCGCTTGATCAAATTTTATATGAGTCACAATCCCTCGGCTGTGTCTCGTGTCGACAAAATTATAGAACGGTATCAGGGTCGCGAATCTCAGTTGTGGCATGATTTAGAGGCAAAGTACAATGAAGAACTCAAAGGTACGAGTTGACAATCCTGAAATTTTCTGCTTTTCTGCTGACATACTTCATCCTACAGACACGGACGAAACAATCAAACTAGGATTAGGTGATTTTGTCTTCTACAGCGTTTTAGTTTCGCGAGCCGCAAAATACGACTTCTCAGCAATGATCGGATGCTTAGTCTCAATCTTGATGGTACGCAACAATCAACGAGGAGACTTTACAAGCTGACAGTATCAAAACGATTTTTAGGGCTTAGGAGGTACGCTACTTCTCCTCGGTATCCATCAGAAAGCGCTTCCAGCCCTTCCAATTTCCATCCTACTAGCGGTCATAATGTATTTTTGGCTACGGGTGGTGTTCATGGACTACGCAACTTTTGCATTTTCTTTCGGCGTGCCTCTTTAGCGCAATAGACATTTTGCGACGAAGTATCTTTAACCGCTTCGTTAACGGACTTAGATAAAGTCGCCTTTCTCGATACACCTCTGTAAGAATGAGGTTAAAAATGTGAAACCTAAGCAATGAAGAGCCTCGAGTTCAATTTTCCAGGGTAGCGCGTCGCCTAGCCACATATGAACCTCGTTTCTGAAATGCATGTCCGCCTAGAAGCAGTGCAAGAATATTAAGCGTGGGATTTAAACATGTTCAATGTATCCGCACCTGTATGAAGCTTGCACGCATCAATGAATTCGCTACGGCAACGTCTTTTCGAGAAAGAACTTTGAAGGATGATGCTGGCAAGGCAATGTTTGAAATTTGAGATGGTCGAACGCCGATCCACTTTATGTCGACCGCTGCGCAGCTACTGTCATAAGAAATCCGAGCAAAAAATGTGACAGTCCAGTTTCACCATATTGAAGCGACTCCAGTGGCATGCGCGCTGAACCTAGTTTATACGTGAGCTTTTAAAAACATTGTTAAAAAAATGTGCGACTCTGTTATTCGCTATGATCTCACTATTATGGAAAGGCCAAATGGGTTGCAGTCGCAGACACCAAGTACAGGAATTCGAAGTGCTTTGCTCAGCAAACTCACAAACACTCTAAATACAACGTATAACATGAGCAATTTGCCGACACATATGCCTTGCAGTAGTATACCTCGTTGCCAGATCGGGAAAACCCTTCCCAGTCACCAATATGCTTGGGACCACGTCAAAAAATTTGTCCTCTCTGACCCAAAACATTAATAAAATTTGCATCGAAAATCTGCGCTTTATGTCGATACCTCAAACGATTAAAAATCCCTGCAGTAAATTAGTAAGACAGATATTGCATTCCAGTTTTGTCTTGTCGTACCGTCCTTTTCAATTACAAGAATGATTTTTGCATTGCTTCTCCTAACAACCAGTCGCACAACATAGGATATTCATCAGATTAACATAATAATTGCACTCGACATACAGTTCGGATTGCTTAAGCTGCAGAAGCTCATGAGTAATTGAAGTCTCTTCTCCATTTCCAAAATATCTCCACTCCCCATCTCGCTTCAAACTTCAGCGTTAAATATAAGTGCAACTCCGATGCTAACGCAAGCACGCACCAGGATGCTTATGTCTCCCGTAAAACAACCTTTAGTTGCAGCTATGATATTCATCGACCCTCTTGAAACGCCCAAAATACTTCCTGCGTCTGCCACAAACGTTTTGAAGTCACAGATGATGCATCATGCACTTTATAACTCTACATTTACCTAGAATGGCTTCATCAGCCTCGCTCTGCCCTTTAAAGAATGGGTGCAGGTAATACACGTCTCGCTTCATTGTAAATTCGTAAAATGAGCACATTATCGCCTCATGATCGAGAGCTAGAGGCAAGTACCTGAGTAGCAGTTTTATTTTCAGCCAACAGTGAATGTGCAGTCTGCAAAATAAGCCAGATTCCAGTGTACTTCCTGCCTCCCTGTCGATTCTATCGCAAGTGTGTGATTTTAATGGATAATAGTCTTCTACTCAAGCTGCACACAAATATACCAGCGTTATTAAGCGGGTTTCCTTCATATGAATTTGCCGCTGATTCTCGCGATCGTAGACCATCGATGATGAGGTGCGTTTCAGCTTCTTAAAATGTCAGGATATTGCCGAGTCTAACCACCGCTTTCGACATACTCACAGCTTTTAATTTCAAAACGTTTCCATTCTATATCACAGGAGAATCGTTAGCTATTATCACACCAACAAATATGCCAGCTTTGTCCGCACCGAAAGTGACTCCAAAAACTCTGCAGCTAAAGTCTCAATGCGTCGTAAAATCTGTCGATCAGTCTCGGTGAGTACATCATTACGAACTCTGCGTATCGATTGTATGAGCCTATTACATCGTATCGAGAGGGGGTATTCTCCATTGGTTCTGCCTCTAGGTCTGTGTGACAACCTTAAGCTAACAGTGTTTCCTTTTTCAATGACGAACATTCCTGCATATCGTTTCGTATAAAATTATATAAAAAATCATTTTATAAATGCTTGATCCAAACAAATTTTACTGCGAGAAACAGGTTGCACACGCAACAAGAAGGAACAGATTTCGAATGTTGCTAGTATTGCCGCCGACTGTATCCATGTAGGTTCCTCAGAAGTGCTAAAAAGCCTATCATTCCCTGCCGCTGGAGATATTTTTGTGCTGTGTCAAGATACCTTTTACATTTAAAGTGCGGATTGAGGTTGCGTGCACCGCAAACTTTTGTAGAACTAGCTCACGCCACACACTTCAAATACAGAGACCCATCTGTCTCGTCACCAGTAAAAATCCCAAGTAGAAACCAACACTCTGTATCACAGAATGTGCATACAAAAATGGCTTTGCAGTATTTGCGGATGCAGAGGCAGCGTCAAAAACTTAAACTAGTGCAACTGGTCATCATTACCCGATCATTGAATCTTGCAGAAAAAACATCACTTGCCAACTTTGATATTTATCTGCAAGTCAAGTCCATTTCTTGGGACGTTGGAACCCTCAAATATACTTCAGAAAAAATAAGCCTACATACTACGTGGAAATTCATTTGAATTACCCCAAAATACTTGGAAATAGCGCGTATTAACCTTGGCGTTCGCCTATGATGCTATTTCTAGTGACAATTTATATACTAAAATAAGTGCTGCATCAATATGATAGGAGCGCTTTTCCTGTGTTCGCTTGTGCTTTGAGATCTCATCAGTTTTTCAAAGAGTTTGTAGAAAGTCAGAATGACTAGTTGGCTGATGTTCATAACCGCGTGATTGGTATTCACTGTTTAAGTTTCATTGATGCGATGCATCTCAACACTGCATTCGTTACGTCGGCAAAGTACCATAATCAAACTGTAAATTCTCGATATGCATATAACTTGACGGCTTGATGATATTTTATACAAAGAGGTAATCGCGCCGTACCTCACCCACTTGCGCTCTTCCGCGGTGGTCTCTCCATTTGCAACGTGTGCGTCGGGTACTTGCTATCAAAGAGGTCTTCATTTAATTGGGTGTCTCGAGTTTTTATCAAATAGGTTAGAAACCTTGAACCTGCTCAAAAATCACTATCTAAATTACACGTCGTTACTTGCGGTTAGCAAAATTTCTAAGTGAGAGGCTGAGAAAGCTCCTAGCGCGGCTAACTGACTGACAAGCGTATCATCTCCGATTTGGATGCAAAGCTCACCAATACACGAACAAGGTTTGAAAAGTTTGCTCACCGTTCCAAATTTCACAATAAGCCCTGGGAGAATGAATCTTACTAATATAAGCGACTTTCTTGGTCTAAAAAGTAGTGTTGACGTCCGAGCATTTATGTGTCGCTATATATTCAGCATAATCAGGAGCAAGTGTCGGAATTGACGGGATCATTTTTCTACCCACTCGTCTATCTTCGGTGTTTACATGCTGCCTAAATAACAAAAACACCACTTTCTTGTCTGGGTGATAACTGGATGGCGTTGCATTTCTAATGCCACAACGGTTCTGACGTTGTCCCTCTGTGAGGGCTGCGCATACCAAAAGGTTGAGTGAAAATATTACTGGGCCTCACACACTACCATTGGCCAGAGGCTAATGGAGCAATGTCTTGTTGATTGTGTCCTTTGATAAGCGTAGTAGGCCGAGTAGGGAATCATTTCCATCTTTTATTTTTCATCAAGCACGAGTCTTGTGCAGGATTACTAAGCTGCGATTGAATGAAAAAGAGCTACAAAATTTGAGCTCCTCTTTCAATTACTAATACGACTTAAACATAAAAAGGCGACTGGCCAGACAGCATCGTCCTGTCACTCTCTCTGTCTCTTTCGTCGTGGATTCGACTAATGACGGCACGTACTTCGGGAAGCATCTTCGATATCGGAGTAACCTTGATGTCGCGCTGTTGAATGAGCAACTGAAAGCGTTGAACAGGTTCCCGCATTTTGCAGACGGCGTGCATCCACAAATTTGGTTGCACGAACTCAGGCAGAATCGAGTGCTAATTGTCTGGACGGAATCGAATTAAATTGCCGGATGTATGGTACGTGCATGAGACTTTGTGGTTCTCCTTCAGCACGTGTGATCAGACAGATGGCGCGGAATTACGCCGTTCGGTTTATCACTCGAGCTTTCATTCGACTAAAGAGCTCGTCAAACGCTAAGGTGGTACCATCACGTCCGTCGTGAGAATCGTAACGACGATCAATCTCGCGGTAGAGCACATAGCAATCGTCATCCGCCCGAGCTGGTCGTCTGATTGGCTCAACGTGCGAAAGCACCGTTCGACGTGAAATTGACTCATTATCCACGTTTGATGATGGCGAAGGCGCCATCGAATCCTCGGATTGAGGCGCAGTTCTGCTCTGCGCTCGTCGTCAGCGCAGGTCGTTCTCGATGCATTTCATATCATGTGGGATCACGAATATTCGAGTCTCAGAGTCCAAGAAAGTTTGAAGAGAATGTGGGTAAACCCACTTTTGAGTGGGTGTGTGGTAGTTCCATTACACATGTTATGTGAAACACATAGTGTTGTGTGTGGTTAACATTTACTACACATCTTGCATAGCTGTATATTTCTCAATTCTGCTTCATTGGAATTGAAGGAGCTTATGAGTTTAGGTCTATTAGCCATAATAAATGTCATCCTCTTCCCCTCTGCTCTCAAGTATATCAACGGCTCGCTGGCAGTGAGCAACACGCGGTGAGGCGTGTTTGCTGATTTAAGTCTCCCTCAGTAAGGGCGTGCAATTTTCCCGTTACACAAACTCGCAAAGTTAAAGCTATATCTATGCGAGTCGAGCGGACAATTATATTTCATGTGGTGATTATTATCGTCAGCTGACACCCGGATTTGTATGCGTCGTGATACTCGCACATGTTGCAAATGTGGGATAACGAGACATTTACACTCGGTTAGAGGGGTTTAGCTCCCACGTGTGGCTTATCGACGCACCTCTCAAGAAGCGCGCCGAGTCGCAGTAGGTGCTGGACAGCCGTTTGGGGTAAAATGAGGTCTTACATTACCTCGTCGGGAAGCATTAGCGCGTTTTGTCCATCAAGTGACTGAAGTTTTGGCCGCATCGTTCATACGGACAGACCTATTTAGATGATAAATTTACCCATAGTCGCGGAGAGCTCAGGTCTGAACATCCATATAAATCACTTGCAAACAGTACGCAGCTGTTAAAACAGTACGCAGCTGTTTAACTCGAAATTTTGTTATTTAACGTTAGCTTCGACGAAATTCAACTTCTCTTCTCTTCTCTTCTCTTCTCTTCTCTTCTCTTCTCTTCTCTTCTCTTCTCTT